TCACAATCACTTTTGTTTCTATACCAAATATATAACCATGTTTTAAATACAGGTGTAGAAAAGGTCTAAGCACACACAATCCACTTCCTTTTTTCCTGAAATCTACTTAAATTTTGAAACAAAACCACATTATTCATTCTTAAACATTTTTTCTCAAATCTTTCACAGAAAATACTACTGACAGCTTCAAGATACTGATCAAATAAAACATTTGATAGGGTTTCTTAAGCCAAAAAGCCTAAAAATAAGTTATGCATATTATAAACTCCTCATTGCAGTTTGGGCTCGCAGAACACAGGGACCCACCCTTGCTTATTCTAGCATTCTCATGGGTTGTCATTGCTTGACCTGGAACTTGTCCCTTCTTTCCCCTGAAGTTATTTTATGGAATCTCTTGATGGTAAAATAAAAACACAGGTAATTGAATCAAGTTTACTTTTGTAGGTATTTTCAAATGGCCAAGTAAATTATTACTTTGTTCCTATTTCCCCTCTGTGGAATTTTGTTATTGTTTTCATGCAGAAATATTCTAGCATCTTGCCATGTAGTCATCTGATTAAACTCCAGGAGAATAGAGTCTTGGAGCTACAATGCTGGTAGAAAGGGCACATGAGATGCTCTGTATTAGACAGCACACCAATAGCCACCCACATTCAGGAAGAGCAATCCTGGAAAGTTGGGCAGCCTGGTATGTAGCACTGGGATGCTGAAAAGTGAAAACTACATTGGCTCAGAAACTAATTTGCAATTACTGACCTCAGAGGAAGCACTCTTAAAAATTTCATTTGTTAGAAAAGATGTAGCTGGGGATTGAAAGAACACCCTTGAGTCTTTGTAAATGAGAAGTAGAACCATTACTTCAAATGCTTTGTTTTATTCCACTGAAAAGAAGAAAGTGAACCAACAGCAATGTTTGCTCAAATTCCACTCTGGCTGTTAAAGAAAAAAAATAAAAGGATCACCACAGACAGACACCACAAAAGGGACAACACAGACAAAATGATGTTATGCAGGAGACCAGTCACCATATGGGACACCTGGACCATGGCTCTGAATCTCCATGTGTATAGGGTGAGGTTTATTATGGGTAGTATAATTACTTTTTTATTTTTATCACCTGTTTTAAATGATTATATTCACTTTAACAATGAAAGGTTTCGACACAGTGACCTCCTACCCAGACCACTTAACTCAGTGGCCAGGCCATTTGAATTTGCCATTGGTCATTTCTGTCAAAATGTCCTTGTGGTGTCTCAGTCATCCATTATACTTCCCATGCAACCCAAGAGTAAGCTAAGACATCCATGTGTGATTTGGATGGCCAGCTCTCTTACCCTAACACACTACCCCTAGTGTTTCAAAGTGTAACAAAGAAATACCCGTCCACTGCCATGTCAGAAATCTCTGATTGTCCTCCCAGAAATCAAACAAAAATCACAAGCATGTGGTTCACACAATCTCTAGGAACACTGAATATACTATTTTAACCTTGGTTCTGTGTGGAGTAGTAGAAAACAATGATATCATTTTCAAGGAGAATTTCAAGGACTGGAGGGGTATCTCCTGTTCTCCCTTTCTTTCCTAGTGGAGTCTCAAGCCATTTATAGATTTAGTAGTGGGCACTTTTTGTGTGGCTATACATCCATATACTTCTTTATGCCCATATCACTCTTCCAGATCTAGGAATTCCCACATATTTAAACATTCCAAATAACTGACATTTTTTATTCCATCCCTCCTTCTCTTAGCATGCCATCTCATTTAGATTACAGCCAGAAGCCGCAAAGACTTTCACATAATATACCTCTACCACTCACTTTGCTTCATTTCCATGGTCAAATAGAGTTTTCAGGCAAGGATTCTCAAAAGATCATCAGTCCTCGCTGAGGACTTCTTACAAAGGCAAACACACTAAGCTTCAGACCTAATGAATCAAACTCAGGGGATGGGCCCCACTTTTTAGAGTTTATGAGCCTACAGACGGCTCTGATGAACAGTGATGTTTGAAGGTGCTTAGCTATCTCCCTTCCCCCGATTCTGCACTGATAAACGCAAAAAATCTTTTACTTCATTTTTCTGCTCCCACTCTTGCCACCTCCAATTCATCATCTGCCCAGCAATGAAGAGAGAGAGAGAGAGAGAGAGAGAGAGAGAGAGAGAGAGAGAATGAGAGAGAGAATAGGCAAAAAACAGTCTAGTATTTTTCCTCAGGAGATGTCTAACTTGCTCCTTGAGACAGTGTCTGTCACTAGAACCTGGGCTTATCAAATATACTACTCTGTCCGACCAGCAAGTCCTGGGGAATGCCCATCTCTGCTTTTCTAGCACTGAGATTATAGTGCTTGCCTCCACATCCATTTTTTTTTAATGTAGGTGCTAGGGATTGAATTCAGGGCCTTGTATTTGTACAACTAGGACTTTACCCACTGAGCTATCTTCAATATGTCTCAAAATGATGTTTATTTTTAGATTTTTAAATAAACACAAAAATATTTTATTTTGTTTCTATGTAGTCACACCTTTCCTTAACTTTAAGTAGATTTTAAATTATCTGAGAAATAAAGTTAAGCGGTTTTCCCATGGTATGCAAAGAACAGTATTAGCAGGACTGCATGTTAGTCCCATACCTCTTATGGCTTCTTCATTATTTTCTAGTGATTCACTATCTCTGGCTAAGCCTTTTGACCTGCCATCACTCATATTTTTCACATTGGTGGATTCCCATCCCTTAGATCCCTCCCTTCCCATTTCCACTATCCTGTTTGCCAACACCTCTCAACCATACTTTGTAATTTTTACATGCAGGTTTGTTCATTCATGTACCTTAGTGCTGTATACTAGGCTGTCAATTGTGGGAGATGTGGGATTACTTTTGTTTATCTCCACTGTGTACATCTCATGGTACCTATCATAGGAAGGATATCTAAGAAACAAAACAATAACAACTTGCTGTATGGTCAATTGCATACAATTCTTCTGAGAGACGAATTCAAACAAAACAAAAATGAGCTTGCTTAAGGACTCCCAGATTATACTCTAGTCGGTAAGGGCCAGGTGAGAATTCTTATGGACATGGAAAAGTCATACCTGCTAGAAACTGAGAATTGCTGCTAAAGTGTATACTGAGTAACACTGATAAACCAATTTAATTTCCTCTCTGAGGTTTAGTCATAATTTCTGCATAAGCCAAAATGCTACAACTCTTGATTATATGCATTTCAATCTTGGATGACTGCATTTCTACCACAGGGATACCAAAGAATAACAGTTAGGCATGCCATATTTCTTCTTCTTCTTCTTCTTCTTCTTCTTCTTCTTCTTCTTCTTCTTCTTCTTCTTCTTCTTCCTCTTCTTCTTCTCATTATTATTATTATTATTATTATTATTATTATTAGTAGTAGTAGTAGTAGTAGTAGTAGTAGTAGTAGTAGTAGTAGTATCAGTATTTAGATCACAGTTTCACTATTGTAGCCCAGGCTGGTCTCAGACTGTCTGGCCTCTGGTCACAATTTCCAAATTCTGTATCACAAACTTGATTCTAGCTTTTATCACTAAATCCTGGATTTGCCTTCTGAGAGGCCTTTTCCTTTTGATTTTTTTTTAAAAAAATTTAATTTTTTGTTTTTGAATATAAGTTTGATGTGTCTTGGATTTGGTATAATTTCAGCTGCTTCCTTGACTCTTGCTCTTAGCCATGCTTGGTGTATGCTAACTGGTTTCATCATTCATAGACAACAGATGACAGTCATTTGGAAGCACTCCTCAAGGGAGAGATAACAGCCAAGTGTAAGTGAAGTTGGCAAAGACAACTGTGTGTGAGAGATAACTGGTCAGCAGTACTTTCTCTTATTCCTAAATCCAGTTGTCATACTCCACACTTTCACTTCAACTTACCTATTATTTTTATTTGTGACTGTGAGTTTCCTACACACTTCAGACTTGACTTCTCTTCCTGGATGATCACATTTGTGCTACCTATGACACCAAAAAAGGAATATACTTTGGGAGTGTCAGCCTCTATTTAATTAATTGCTACAGTGCCCCTGAGGTAGAGACTGGGGAAGGCCATAGACATAGTTTACCCCCTTTTAAGGACATACAGAATGAATTATCTGTGATGCTATGATGATCGACTTTATGTGTCAGTATTACTGGACTACAGGACACATATATATTCAGCCAAATATAATTCTGTGGATACCTTCAAAACTATTTCTAGATAAGTTTAATATCCGAGTCAGTGATTGAATAAAGCAGATGGTCCTTCTTACAGTCCACTCCATGCCAGGTTGCATATGTCTCAGCCAATCTAGTCAAGGACCAAAGAGGACATAAAGATGAAGTAAGAGAGAATGTGCTCTGTTTTTAAGAAGGACATTGACAAGCAAGTAGCTGCTCAGTTAAGGTCACACTCTATAGAAAAGAAGTTACACCAAGGTATTGTTATAGGGCAATAATTCAGAAAATAGAATTTTAAAACACAATGACAGCAAAATCATTCCAAAAATGTTATTTCTATCAAAAGAGAAAGGAAGAGAGAGGTGGTGGTCTCTTTCACAAATAAGCTTTAAGAATCTAACTCATTAGAAATATGAGTCAGATTCAATGAAGGATTTCTCAGAATTAAAGACTTGTATACAAACTCAATGCCAGGCCCTCAAGCTGTCTCAGCAGGTATAAGGCATTTGCCGCCAATCTTGAAGGCTTGAGTTTCACATCAGAAATTCACATGGTAAAAAGAGAGAGTTGACTCCTTCAAGTTGTCATCTGACCTCCACATGCATGTCTCCCCTCAACCAAACCCAATGCACACAATTCTTGTCATCATTGCCATCATTATTATAATATTAGGATGGATGGGTTATCATGAAGCCTGTAACAAATTTCAAGTTCCCTTTATAAGTGCATAAACACATAAACAGGAAACAAACATCTATTTGACAAAATTAGTACCCTAATTATTATCATACCAGGGAAAGAGAGGAACAATCAAAACTCACATTGAGTTGAAGTTCATCTGTCCATTGCCCAATGAGACGATAACCAGGGTTGGAGGTATTTGTTGTTTGGTATTGGAAGATATCATAACGCCCAGGAGCATCCCCATTTTTGTTAAACATCACTGGGGTGCCAGCGCTACCTGAAGGAGACAAGGAAAGGGCAGAATGAAGCAGGATTCCTTCCATCTTCCTAATGATGAAGTTAGGAGCTAACCCTATAGCTAGTAAGATGGCCTCCAATATCCACTTCAGCTCATGGCAGGTCATCACTACAGCTTCTTCGCCATGGTAACAGAATGTTGGAAGACAGCCTGTCTGTTCCTTTGAATGGAGCTATTCTTGGTCTTGCTGAAGGTTTTCTTCTAAAGCTTTCTCATTCTAAGCAAAAAACAATCCATGAATTAATTTTAAGAGACGAAAAATATGTTTTAACACAATGCTGCTGCTAGCTGTGATTGCAATGTTCATGATGGCAATGGCTGTTTTGGTTTGCACTTAACACTTAATAGTAGTTAATAAAGAATAAGTTCAAAAATAGCAATTGTTAAAATTGATACATCATTACAAATAACCAAAATAATTCATTTAAATGTGTGTTTCTGTCCTGATTGAATTTAAAATATTTCTTGTGTTGATTATTTCTAATTTATAGAGAGCATGTAGGAAATAAATGCCCAGCAGTGTGCCTAGACGACATTTGATAGACATTACTTTCTTTTTCAAACCCTAATTTAGTTAGGTCGTATTAAAATGTACACTTTTGATAAAAAAGTGAGATGTTTCAGCAAGTGAGAACACTTTTTGAGCAAACCTGAGAATATGAGTTCAAATTCTTAGTGCCTCTCATTCTGTAGTATAAGAAATGAAATATTAATTTGTTCAATTAGACTGGTGTTTCACATTTATATTTTTATGCACATATACAAATTATATTGTAAAAGTGTGGTTTGAGACACCCACCTATCATTGAGCTCAACTCTGGAATCCAGTTGCAGAGAGGGAGGAGTGATGAGCAAAGGAGGTCAGAAACAGGCTGGAGAAACTCATAGGGACAGCTGACCTGAACAAGGGGGAGCTCATGGACTTATAGCTGGGAAACCAGCATAGGACTAATCCAGACCCCCTGAACATGGATGTCAGTATAGAGGTCTGGGCAATCTATGGGGCCTCTGGCAGTGGACCAGTATTTATCCCCAGTATACGAATGGACTTTGGGAGCCCATTCCACATGGAGGGATACTCTCTCAGCCTACACATATGGGAAAGGGTCTAGGCCCTGCTCCAAATGATATGACAGAATTTAAAGATCCCCCATGCAAGGCCTCACCCTCCCTGAGGAGCAGAAATGGGTTGGGATGGGGGGGTGGTGCAGGGGAGGAGGGGAGGGAGAGGAAACTGGGATTGACATGTAAAACAAGCTTGTTTCTAATAAAAATAATTTTCTCAAAATCACAAAAAAGTGTGGCATAGTCTGGTGTTTGTAACAACTGTGTTGTTGGAGACAGAGACAGTAGGATCCAGACAGTCTAGCTCCAGGTTCAGTAAGAAACAATTTCTCAAGGAAATGTGAGTTATAAGGCTTTGAGTGATAGAGAACACCTGATTAGACAAATGAAGACCAAACACCAAGAACAAATCAACATCCAGAAAGAAAGACTCCATATTGGGTTATAACATCCCTATGAAGTATATCATCTTACTGAATGATACAACATCATAGCTCAGACAAAGGAAAACCTATGGTACCTATGGTACGTACCTTATTGTAGTTACAAATTACAGATTTTATGACAGAGCTGAATATCATAAAAGCAAATCAGAGCTTGTGATGGGGTGAATAATGTTCTGTAATAGTCTTTATGATGTGACAGAGTTCAGGACCATAACATGGAGAGAATCTACTGTATAATGTGAGTTGACCCAATGTCGGTACATCAGTCTACCTAAAATAGACACAAAAGGAGACAAAGACAGTGTATGTGTGTGTGTGTGTGTGTGTGTGTGTGTGTATGTGTATCTTATGAAAAAATGAGGAGTACATGAAGACATTCATTACAACTGAATGAGTTCTAGAATCTATGAAACAGAAAGGAATGGATTTATCCTTCAGTCTTCAGAAGGAAACTAGACTTGCCTTCACCATTATAGGGGTCCAGAAAATCTATGGTGGTCTTCCATATTTCAGACCTATGAGGTAATCTATGCTGTGATGGCTAACTTGTTGGTAACCTTGAAACATCTGGGAAGAGAGAACCTCAATTGAGAGTGTATTTCATCAGATTGGCCTATGAGCATGTCCCTTGTCATTTTCTTGTAGGAGGTAACATCACTAGACAGGGGTGTCTAGTAGGCTTTATAAGAAAAATAGTTGACAGAGGTCATGAGGAAGCAGAAATTTTGAGTCAGGTATAGATTAGAAGAAAGGACATATGACAGGTAGGATTTTAGTTGGGGGGTGGTAGAGGAGAAAGGGAGGGAGAAGGGAATTGGGATTGTCATGTGATTCAATCTTGTTTGTAATTCAAATACATAAAAAATAAAGAATAAAAAATAAAAAGTCACAATTAATTCTACACTCAATTCTTTCTATATAATACTTACAACTTTCCTTTCTGTAAGACACTCTTCATTATTCCTTGACACTAGACGGAAAATTGATGAATTTTCTACTGAATTATTTGTGCTTAAAATCTGTTTTGAACATCCAAAAGGATGTGTAAGAAGAAAGATGTTTAATGGGTGAAAGGGAGACAAGAGAATGTGGAGAATAGTGCAATCAGAATGATTATATACATGCATGAAATTGTTAAGGAACACATTTAATTAATAGGAAAGAACTAGGATAGAAAAAAAGGAAAGATGAATGTGTGGTAGAAAGCAAGTCATTAAGAAGTATTCCTAAGTGGTAGCCTCTGCTTCAATTCCTGCTTCCAGATTCCTGTCTTGATCTCTCACTCTGGAGTCCTTCTGTGATGTCTGTGACCTATTACCTGAAACAAACCTTTTCTTCCTCTGAGCTGTTTCATGGACATGTTGATCATCACTTGAGCAACAGAAAGCCAAAGTAAGACATATGTGCATGTTTAAGACTTTAGCTTGTGGTTATAGTCAGAGGTGTGGGGTGGGTGATTAGGTAGGAATTCAAAACACAGCTGGAGGACACAGAACACCAAACTTCTTCATCTCACAGTTAAGAAATTGCTTAAGTTCAGGTAGGATAGGTTTCTTGTCAGTGACTCAGATAATGCCACCAGATAGCACAGATAATTAAACCAAAATAATTCCTAGTAAATAGGGTTTTTTGATAGATTTATGTTACAGGTTGACCTCTCAGTATCTGTATGACTTGAGCAAATTATTTGATTTCAGTCAACTGTCTGCCACTAGGGATGCCTTTCCACAGGGTTAGAGTGCATACTGAATGCAATAACCTAACAGTGTTATGGCATATATTCCTGCCTGTGCCCTCAGGTAACAGTCACCCCATGGTAATGCTTTCGAAAATGAGACCTGTGAATTGCGTGCTTGTGTGATTCTATGCACATGCACAGGTATATGTGGAAAGCGGAATAGTGGGTTGGGCCCCCTGGAGCTGGAGTTTCAGGAAGTTGTGAACTACCGAATATCAGTGCTGGAAACTGAACTCAGCTCCCCTGAAAGAGCAGTAAGCACTTGTAACTGCTGATCCATCTCTCTAGTCCTTTAATCATTTTGAATAGTGTTTATGATGTCAGTGTTTATTTCTCTATTGTTTTAAGACCAGAAATAACTCATAGATTAGGTTAGCCAGACTGAAGCCTTTTCAGTACACTTGTGTTGCTCTTCTGAGATTCAATTAGATTTTTCCCATTTCTAAAAACATTTTCTATTTACCAAACAGCAGTGTAGAGCTCACAGTGGGAGTGGGCACTAGACATCTGTGAATACTGCTCTGGTCCCACCAATTTGAGTCAATGGTTGATTGTTTGTGGCCAAAGTAAACATTTCAAATTGCTGCTTCTATGTTTTGTCAAAACAAAATCACCGAAGATTATAAAAAGCACTTCATCACGATTCTTTTTAAATATATATTTAAATAAAATATATATAAATATAAATTTATTTAAATATATAGTCTTTGAAATTATGATACAATCATATTATTTCCCCTTTCCTCCCCTTAGCTTCTCTCTCTCTCTCTCTCTCTCTCTCTCTCTCTCTCTCTCTCTCTCTCTCTCTTTTTCTGCCTTGTCCCCATTTTATTGTTACATGTAGCCTTCTGGGTTACACAAAGCTTCCCACAATGGGGTGGGGGGAACAAACAGCAGTAAGAAATGACAAGTGACCTGACAGAGAATTTTTAACAATGGTGTTCTGCTTTTTAGCAAATATTCCAGGTGTAAGGACAACAGATAAAATGTGATGTTGCATGTCATTAGGGAGAAATGTGAATCCTGTCACTGAGCAGCAAGACATTGCTATTCAGATGCCCAGTCTTTTCTCTCACTTGGGATGCTGCGACTCACATTGTGCTTTACTGTACTATTGTGAATTCTATTCATTAAATTGCATGGCTGGGTCCTTACACACTTAGTGATCAGAGAGAGAAAGAACGTCTGAGGCCCAGAGCTCCAAGCCATCTTATGTTCATCGGCTTAGGCTTCATCAGAACAGAACACATGGCCTTATCTTTCTCCCTTCTCCAAATCTACATGAGGGAAAATGATTCTTGTCATGCTTTTTCCATTCCTATTAAAGTTCATGTTTAAAATTATAGTACAGGAGATGAACACTTTATCTAAATGATGATTTCTAATTGTGTATCTAATTGTGTATTGTGCAGCTTTGACCTTCTGAATCCGTCCTTTAATGAAATGGGCTTATTATTCCCAGGGTGTTTTTTATCCCACTCTTGTACTCCCCTTTAACAGTACCTACCCTTGGACTCATTAAAAGGGAAAATAGGCAGTGTGTTCAATGGACTTTGAGAACAGAAAAAAAAAAAACTAAATTGCAGCGAAAAGGAAATAAGATATCAAAGAGGCAGTGACTACCTGCAGAGATCTTCTAAAGTGTGAGGGCAAGAATTCAGGAACACCAAATAAAAGAACTAGGGCTACCAGCCAGGATGGGCAGTGTTAAAGCAGGATCAGAGAAAGGACTGACTCAGAATTACTCTTCACAACCTTCGAAAGAACTATGGGATTATATATTTTATTTTATTTTGAAATTTTATGTTTGACATCCAGACAGACAGACCAAGAGGGAGGGAGGGAATGAGGGAAGAAAGGAGAGATAGATAGATAGATAGGTAGATAGATAGATAGATAGATAGATAGATGTTTATGTACGTGAGTGTGGGTTCTTGTAGAAGCCTTGGAGCTTCAGTTATAGGTCCTTGTGAGCCACCCAACCCTTGTTTTGGGAACCAAACTAGGGTCCTCAGACAGACCAGTGTGGACTCTTAACTGCTGAGGCATGCCTCCAGCCCCCATAAGAACTCTATTGGGAAAGTTAACAGCTCATACGCAGCTATGAGTATGGTTATAATAGGTTAATAGGAGTGTCAGGAGACAGATCCTAATAACATAGACAACACGATGAAGGGCTTGAAGGGAAAGAGCATTCTGTTCTACTAGGAGAAAAGAAGTTTCTCTTATAGAACGTTTCATTCTTGTGGGGCAAATCATGTGATCTAGTTTGGCTTAGCCTACCTATTAGGAGTTACAAAGCAAAAAAGGCCAAGATAAAAGTGGTTATGACTTAAGATTATCTTAAGCTTGTCCACAGCTACAAGGTATTGGTATATGTGTGGGGTGTTTTCAAGGCCACAGTACACCATGGTTTCTTATCAACTCTGTCTAGAGCAAGCACTGAAGTGGGGTATGATAAAGAGAGAGAGAGAGAGTGGGGGGTACAAACAGAAGGACGAAGACACAGAGAGAGGTAGATAGATAGATAGATAGATAGATGAGAGAGAGAGAGAGAGAGAGAGAAGAGAGAGAGTGGGGGGTACAAACAGAAGGAAGAAGACACAGAGAGAGGTAGAGAGATAGATAGATAGATAGATAGATAGATAGATAGATAGATAGAAGAGAGAGAGAGAGAGAGAGAGAGGGGGAGAGAGAGAGAGAGAGAGATGTAGAGAGGATAAACACTAGAGGGTCTGTGATCTAACAGCAGGTGTAGAGGAGGTAACCAAGTCTGAAGTCTGTAGTAATGTCAGTGTGTGACAGAAACTGCTTTTCATCCAGAACCAAGGATCCTGATGCCCAGATGACAAACTATTTTCTACATCAAAGCATTTATTCAAAAGATTTTCTGTACTTGTTTCTATTCATGCCATGCAGAACCCAAATTTCTGTACTGATTCATGTTCTGTTGATCTTTCTGCTCAACAGCCCATCCTAAACCATACTGCTGGAGCCAAGGACAACATGGATTCCACCCCTTGGCCAGGCCAGTAGAGGTAGCAGTTTCTTGATCCATTGCATCAGCAAAGGCAATTGATGTTATATGTATAAAAACTGACGTTGGCTCTCATATAAACCTCAGCTTTAAATGTGGCCAGACCACTTACCTTTACCTGTGAGGTTAACATCTAGCATTTTGCTTTTCTTTCTGAAAAGTAGTTTAAGGTTTGTTGTTTATAGTAAAAATATGTCGAGAAGCCGACTTAGAACTCAACTTCAATTTATACTTCAGAAATTCTATAACATCTTTTCAAACTAGTCACAAACAGATTCCGATAAAGTGAACATGAGTCTCACTTATCTAGAGAGGAAAGCAAAATATTTGAGATAGTGTGCTTTTATAATGTACACGACTTCCATTTCTTTCCTAGAAATCAGTAAGTCTAGCTATATGCATATTCCTGATTAAATTAGCCAATTATTACAGTGATTATTTCAGAGTTTTATCTTCCAAATTGTTTAAAGTTATATTAGGAAGTATTTCCATTACCCCAGTTAGTCAGCATAGACACAACTAGAATGCATTTGCACACAAGTCTCTGCATGTATTTGTGATGTAGGAAAAGGTGACCAGGAAGAAAAAAAATAGCTCCCACCCCACTCACATTCCTAAGAGGATACCTACTTGGAGAGGCTGAGGTCATACTTTTCAGACAGTATTATCAATACCCGAAACAATGTTTTCCTGAATGTGAAGGTCAGAATTATTGAGTTGTACTCAACTGGTCTAAAGAAAACCTCCTAGGGATAAATGGAATTTCTTGCCAATATCTTGGGAGAAGTGCAATCATACTTAATAAAAAAATAATTCAAAATCTTAACTATGCACAGGAAGGTTGAATTCTCCATAGCAGATTGTAGAGATGCAAATTATAGATTGGTCCCTGCCATTTGGTAGTTTTAAAGTGGGAGCCAGATACTTCCCACTCTGTGTACATTTATTTATTAACCTAAAATGATGAAAGTAAATCAAAAAATAATATATTTCTGCAAGGAGTTTGGTTCTTCAGACTTAAAATGATATTCCTAATAAGATCCCAGTTTTAGGTATTCTTATTTATTCTGAGATGCCATTTTTGTCCTCTAGGTAGATAGATATAAACAGCAAAAGGCACATGTACACATCTTCATGCATATCTATTTTGATGCCTATCTGTACAAATATATACAAATTTGTGTTGATCTCTGCAATTTTAATCATATACAATTTCTATTAGTTTACTGCCCTGACATATTTTTCAATATATGCAATATATATAATATTTTCTCAGTCCTATTCCTTGCAAAAGCTAGTATTAGAATTATGAAACCTCCAAATGCATATTTACTAGCTGTTCTGGTTTATTTTTAATGTTTGTTTGTTTTTGTCAACTTGACACAATGCAAAGTTATCTTCGAAGAGGAACATCTACTGAGAAATTTCCTCTATCAGATTGCCTGTAGGCAATCCTAGAGGCCATTTTCTTGATTAATGATGGATAGAGAAAACCTTGCACACTCTGGGTAGTGCCACTCAAGAGCCGTGTTCCTGAGTTTTATTGGCAGCCTGGCTAAGGAGAATAAGCCAGTAAAGTGCGTTCCCACATAGTCTCTGATTTGGGGTTCCTGCCTTCACTTTCTTCTATTATGGACTGTTCTGTGAAATAGAATCTAAATAAACCCTCTCCTCTCCAAATTGATTCAGGTCATGGTGCTTTAGCATGGCAACAGAAACTTTAATTAAGACAATAGATATGTGAAATGCCTGAATATGCTAATTTTTGTCTCTAGCTTTTAATAGTCAGGTATTCCCCCAAGTTTACTGTATTCATGTTTTCCTCATTTACACGTCTTATTGTTGTTATGGTGCTAATTTCTGATACAGGTAGAATTTTTTGTTACAAGATCTATTGAATGTTATGTCACTCACGCATTGAGTTTTAATTGAATTCCTTAAGTTTTGTTATACAAAGCATCAAGACATCATAAGACTCAGACTATAGGGAAAGTATTATTGCCTGTCAAGTCTGCAGTATTCATTCATTTCATCCACTTATGTTTACTAGTCTCTTTTGGGTGGCTTATTATAGGAGGATTTTGTTGTTTGAGGGGTGGTCTCATAACCTGAGATGTTCTTTGTACAACAATTTTCCACCATCTCTTATGATCTTGCGACCATGCATCTTCTGCCTCTTTCCTTTCCTTTCTTTCCTCTCTCCCTCACCTACATCCACTAAAGAAAAAAGACTTCAAGTGAAATCCCTGGATTTTAAAAGAAGAACATAGCATAGCCATCTAGTATGTACTCCTTCATTCTCTTTTCTAAGTTTCATTTCTTCACCCATTCCCACGCTGGTTTGATCACTTGAAAGTATATGATTAGCGTGGAGTTGATCTTATTTGAGTCAATGTCATGTAGTTTTTGTAACTTATAAAATAGGAGATAATATTTGCTTAGCATTCCCTTCAGTACAGACATTTACAGCAGACTCACCATTGAAATTAACATTGCGGATATACTTCAACAACTTCTTTCCCCCTGCTTGCTCCATCTCTGGGCATACTCCCCGGTAATCAGCACACAGATCCTTATTCATGTGATGAAGGGCATGTGCCATGGCGTAGACAGCATCAATCACAAACTGAACTTTACCTTCCTGCTCATAATTGGAGTCTTTTCCAATTCGCTCCTGTCCTGCACATTAAAACAAGAAAGACAGACAGATCCCAGTTGAGTAGGAGTGCTCATTTCCATCTGCTTTTGTTCATGCATGAAGATAATACATATTTGGGAAGTCTAACAATGCAAGCCACATAGTCAACTGTGGCCACCATGTCCTATCTTTTCTAATTTGTGGAATTTTCCTTTAGAGACCATCACATTGACTGTTTGGATTTATGAAGTACAGTACAGAAGGACTTCAAAGGAATATTGTGATGTCTTTTGTCACGAGCCAACATGGAACCTGCTCCTACCACACCAAGGACTTGATATTTTCTATTTTAGTTTGGAGGGAGGGAAGGGATCCATACTAAAACTTGAAGGATTGTTTGCTCCGGAAGGGACAATGGTATCATGGCAGATGGGAACACACAGGCCTGCAAGCCTGAACCCGTTATTTTTTCCATACCTGCATTCCTGGTGTGCTCCTGTGTTCACATAATCATTACTGGAGGCTTGGATACTCAGAGCAGAAACTCTGGTCTTATAAGTTTTATATTTTTTCCTCTCTCCCACCGTCTCTCACAGACAGATGTAATGTATGTCACAGTCTTACCAATTCTACCTCAGACAATCCACAGCATTTTGGACACACTAACAATATCTGTGTTTTAGTATGCCTTGATCTTTTATCAGAATGTGAGACCAGAGCTATTCATTTAAGGGTTCATTCTCCATGTTTATCTCTGCAAATGGCAGAGCTCACAACCACACTCAAGACTCATTCAGAATCTCTTACCAGCCCTCCACTAACAACAGAATATTACGTCACCCTCTTCCCCTGTTCACAATAGGCAGTTATTTCTTCTTCAGCTTGGCCCCATCTGAACCATCACAGTGACAGCTGACAAGGACTCTGTTTCCATGCACATTGGAAACACCTTTTATCTTTGTTCTGCTTCTCTAAGTGCCATCCTAATTTGATGAACTACATATCCTACTTCTTCATTCTACTCATGGGAAAGCAATGGTGGCAGCTCAGTTTTTCATACCAGAGACCATGTACTGACGATACTGACCTTTCTCCATCCTGTCTCAAGATTTGCTTGTCTATTGTGATCTATTACAGCCACTGAAGACTGCAAAGCCAGCCACAGTAGTTAGCCCCAGAAGCTGGGCAGTGGTGCCACACGCCATTAATTTCATGGCTCAGGAGACAAGAGGACTCACTCACTCAGGACTCACTCACTCTGTGAGTGAGTTCAACGCCACCCAGGGATACATGAGAGTGAATCGTTTTTTAAAAAGTAACAGGGTTCATGCCTTTAATCCCAGTACTAGAGAGATACATAAAGAAGAAGCAAAGGATCTCATGTGAGGTTCAGTTTCCTGTCACCGGAAAGATGGATCTCCATTTCAGCCTTGGTAGAGGTAAGAGCTACTGGCTGGCTGCTTTGCTTCTCTGATCTTCAGCTTTAACCCCAACATGTGTCTCTGGGTTTTCATTATTTGTATTATAGGTGTGTGTGTGTGTGTGTGTGTGTGTGTGTGTGTGTGTGTGTGTGTGTATGTGTGTGTGTGTGTGCACGCGCGTGCGCGCACGCATGATCTTTTAGAGTATTCTTTTCATTTCTTTTATTTTTGAGATTATAATATAATTTTAACATTTAACCCTTCTCTTTCCTCTTTCTAAGCTCTCCCATATACTCTCCTTGCTCTATTTCCAATTCATGGCCTCCTTTTTCATTAATTGTTGTTATATGAATATACATATATACACTTATATTCCTAAGTACAGTGCAGTCAATATAATGTTACTTGTATATATTTTCAGGGATAACTCTTTGGTATTATGTAGCCAATTGCTGCTCATTTTCCTGAAAAAGACTCATTTTCCTGTGTAGCTGCTTGTAGTTCTTTGTGTATTGAGGCCTCATAGACTTTCCCTGTCCACTCTTGCCTGTCTGTTGGTATTGTCCTTGTTTAGCTCATGTTAATGTGACCATGCTGCTGAGACTTTATTTATGAGGAGACACAAATTAACAATAACCTTTTCCATGTCTTCTACACAGATGTGACCATTGTTAATTCCTCTGGCTTCACTCACATTCTCTGATTTCCTTTCATAGGAAGTTCTTTGTCTGGATTTCACCCCTCATAGTTTAATTCCCCCTTTTTATACTTTGCTTGTCAGTCTCATTAAACATTACATTATTCTATTATATCAATAGACATAATATTATAAAGCTTCACTCATAGGTCTCTATGGCAATTTATATTCCATCTGTCTCCATGATAAAAATCACAGCATTGAACATCTAGCAGATGATCAAAGACCTGTTTGTTATATTATGTATCAGGCCAGGTATGATTGGCAGGTGCCTGTCATCTCAGCACTTGGGAGGTCAAGCCAGGAAATTCAAGATTTTAAGGTCAACCTGAGACAGATAAGACCTTTCTTTTCTTAAAACAAGTATAGATGAACAAATAAAAAAACAGATGATTTTGAATTTTTTAAAATTATATTCACTTGCATGTATGTGTGTATACTCGAGTGTGTGTGTGTGTGTGTGTGTGTGTGTTTATACTTCTGTGTGGAGAGATCAGTACAACTTGCAAGAATTGATCCTGTCTTTCCATGGTGGGACATAGAGATTAAACTCAAGTTATTAGGCTGTGAAGCACATACTTTTGCCCACTGAGACATTTCACTGGTCCCCAAATAGGTAAATTATAAATTCACTAAATACATGATATCAGGACTACATGTTATTTGACAAGAACATTTTACATTATTTCTTAGGGCATATTTATGCCATAATGAAGCAGTATAAATTCCATAACCTCTAACATTTTTCCTGAAAACACACAGAAGACTCATGTTATATGCTGTGTTAAGACAAGTTTAGGGTTCTTTACTGAGAGATTTTCTAGGAGTGTTTACTTGTTTTTTTTGTATGTCATATTTTTAAACCTCGATTTTCATTTTGTATTCCCTAGTTATCCTAGAAGTTATCCATGTAGGCCACAGTAGTCTTGAATCATGGTAATCTTACTGTTTCAACCTTCCAAGTGCTGGGATTAGAGCTGTGAAATATTTTGCCCAGAGAGAACAATTAATATTATAATGTAAAGTATAATCTCCATGAAATAAATACTGGATTTAACATTTTTATCTACATTTGCATTTTTTTCTTTTAAGACTACACATTAACATCTCATGTGGTAGATAGTTTATTATGGAAGAAGTTTTATTTACATGTTGATAAAACATGCTCATTGCTTGCCACAGGTGCTGTAGACTGTATGTAGAATAGGGTTTTTGGTTCCTATCACTTTAAGATAAAAATCATCACAAAATCATTGCTATTTTCAAGGTGAATACAAGAGTTTTACTTAATCTTGACTATTTTCTCTAATTTCCCTTTCAAGGAAATTTCTGGTTCTTAATGACAGTGCATTGCAATGATTATTAATTTATGTCATTGTATAATAAGTATCTAAAGTCCTCAGAATGACCTAACAACATGTCTAGCAAATACTTTACAACATGTGGTGTAATTAAGAGTCTGGTGTGTGTGTGTGTGTGTGTGTGTGTGTGTGTGTGTGTGCTATTTTTGACCAACTTTTGTTTTAGTGATTCACTCTGAAACATGGGACTGTCTGAATGTCTTAGGGAGTCTATTGCTATGAAAAGACACAATGATCACAGCAGCTCTTATTAAGGTAAACATTTAATTGAGGTGGTGGCTTACAGTTTCAGAGATTCAGTCTGTTATCATAATGTCTGGACATGGTGGTGCACAGGCGGATATGTTACTGGAGAGGTAGCTGAGAGTCCTACATATATGAGACCTCAGAATCCACCTCCAGAGTGACACACTTCCTCCAACAAGGTCACACCCACTCCAATAAGGACACACCTCCTAATAGTGCCACTCCCTTTGGTGGCATCTCAATTGCTGATCTATACCAGTAAACACCCCATTTTGCTGTATAAGTCACAAGACAGGAAACTTTTTGTTTCCTTACCACCATGCCAGCAGAAGACACTGCAAATTTCAATATGAATTCATTAGATACAGAGCAGTTTCCACTGCCTCTTTATTTAAATTTTTTTTCTTTGTGTGTATTTGTGCCATATAAACACATGTCGGGTAGCTGCAAAACAGAGACCATAGGAAGGCATCTGGAATCTTGCTCTAATATTTCCTGCTTTATTCCCTTGAGACAGGGTCTTTGTTTTACTTGAAGCTATATTGGAAACTAACAAGCCCTAGGGAATTTTTTTTTCTCTGCCCCTCAAAGGTATCAGGTATGTGCTTGGCCATGCTTATATTTTTACATGAGTTCTGGGGATTTAAACTCAGGTCCTCAGGTTTACACAGCAACACTTTACCCACTAAGTAATCTCCCCAGACAATTATTTCCATTTCTTCATATGAAAATTCTATCATGTTTGTATGTGAAAGAATGCCAATTTTTTATAATCTAGCTCGTTTGTAAAAATACAAAACAAAACCCATTTCCTCCTGCATTTAAAAAAAACAACTTTATTAATTATACAGGTAAGGAATAAATTGCAAACATTTCCAAAGTTTTGCATTTTTCTTTGAAGTATCTGTTTTCCAGATAAAATTCATTCATTTTTCCCTAATTTTTCCCCTTTATTACTTCTGATTCCTGAATCTTGCTTGAAGAGATGTCTGGGCTGGAATGATGACTCTACGGTTAGAAGCACTTGCTCCTCAAGCACAGGACTCAGGTTCAGTTTGCATGGAGGCTCACAAACATCTGTAGCTATAGTTCCACAGCATCTGATAGGTACCTTGTTCTCTCCCCCATAGGTGCAAGGCACCCATGCAATGCTCAGACATACATGGAGGCATGCATTCATACACAGAAAAAGAATTAGTAGCTTTGTTTTTGCCTCTGCCTCCTGAGTGCTGGAATTAAAGGCGTTTGCCACCATCCTCAGACTAAAAAAATAATGTAGTTTTCAAAAATTATTCTTAGCCCAAGAGTATCAGACT